TGCCTCACATACTTTAATAATCATTCACAATGGATTTTATACCCCCGATCATGCAGCACTGCTTTTATGAATTCTCAGATCCTTTTCAAATGTTTTGTGACTTCTATGATTCTTTTTGAATTTTCCTAAGAATTCCAGTACAATTCACCACTTTTCGGAATGCTCTTGAAAATATCCTTGAAATTCCCTTGAGTCTCTTCCCTGAATTATTTTGGAATTAAATATACCCGCAAAACTCGATTTGATTAATATTCTTCTCGAAATTTGCTTTGAACTCTTTGTATCGATTAGAATTTTGTCCAGTATTTCCTTGGAAATACTAGAATTATTTTGAAGCTTTTTGGAGAATTCAATAACCTTTAAGTTCTTCTTGTTATTTCCTCTGAATCACACGTCAGAACCAGAACTGCACTGAAGAAGTCTGCAAGTAGTAGACGAAATACGCGTATCTGTCAAAAGATAAGCAATTTTAACGGAATTAAAAGGAAATAAACCAACACACTCAAAGCTCTTCATAAAGGGATTCCGTTAAGAGGTTCGACTAATTTAAAAGATTGGAAATTCTGGAGCTTGGTAAATTTATAAGGAACTTCCACTGAATTGCATTTCCAAGATTATTTCACTTTTAAGAATTATTTAGTGTAATTTATGAAAATCCCTTTGTAATTTTAAGGAAAATGAAGAGGGAATTCTAGGTACAATATTAATGTATTTTAGAGAACAATTTCAAGGTAATTTTAGAACGAACTCTAAGGTTGACTGGAACTTCAAAACAATTGGATGTTAGGAATAATGTTAAGGTTAATGGTTCTTCCAGGTGAATTTCCAGGAGAGATCTGAGTATAATTTTAGATGTTTTTGAGCAGAATTCAATGACGAGGGAAAGGCGGATTGAATATCCCTAATAAGTTCTGAGATGAATTTCAAGAGAGTTCTGGTTCTGACGTGTGATTCAGAGGAAATAACAAGAAGAACTCAAAGGTTATTGAATTCTCCAAAAAGCTTCAAAATAACTCTAGTATTTCCAATACTGGACAAAATTCTAACCGATATCATAAGGGGGTGTTCCAAGCGAATTTCGAGAAGAATATTAATCAAACCGAGTTTTGCGGATATATTTATTTCCAAAATAATTCAGGGAAGGGACTCAAGGGAATTTCAAGGATATTTTCAAGAACATTCTGAAAAGTGGTGAATTGCACTGCCCAATTAACAATTTGGGTTTTATGAGGGTTCTGTAGACCACGATTTAGGCTTGTCGTATGCTATAAAACCTCAATAAAACTTGCAATGTTGCTTGGGTTGAATTCTAAGCAAAATCCATGCGAATTTCGAATTTTAATTTTTTTTTCGGAAGATGGTATACATTATCCCGATTTGTCATCGAAATTATTGCCCACCAGAATGGCCACCCTACAAACCCTGTCACCACAAACCATCAGGCAGAAAATCTTACAGGGCGGCCAGTGTAGCAGGAAATAGTCGAGAATAAGAAAAGAAGCCGGGAAACCGAAAAAATAATCCCGGGAATTCGACGTTAGAACCGGGAAAAAAGCTTCTTCATAGGGGAAATGCAGGTAATGTCGGCCTTAGTGTCCCTAATTTGGGCCCATACATAAATTCAGCAATCGACTAAATTTTCAATGGCAACCAAAAATATCCATTAATAACGCGTTCATCTAGATAAAATTGATAAATAGCTGATTTTTAGCGATGGCCCAATATTAGATCCATAGGCCAACATTAGAGACATTTCCCCTATATCAATATATACAGCAAAACTTTTAAAATACCTTTACATATTTAAAGAAATGTTTAAGCTAGAGTTTTGGAAACAATTAGTTAACCAGCTTAGAAGTGAATTAACAGCTGTTTAAAAGCACATAAATAAAAAAAATAGTCCAACAGAGCCATTCTTTATCAAAAGAAATACTTGCTCTTCTTGATGCACAGTTTGCATTAGTTATTTGGCATTTTGTATGATTTCATTACTGATCAATTGTTTAATTCGTCTTCCCTACTCCAATCAAATTCTGTAAGCTTTACGCAAATTTCTCTTCAGAAATTTTTCGAAATTCTCCTCAAATTAGCTTGGAAATCTCTTTTGAATTTTCTAGAAACTTTCCTTCTTTTAATTGCTCCTCCAATTATATCTAAATTTAACTCAGGATACCATTTCTTTGGTGTTTTTTCCCGAAACTTCCTTAAATTTCTGTTCTACACTCTCTCAGAATTTCTTTGAAATTATGCTCAGAACACACTTAAAGTCATAAAGCACTTCCACAGTTATTAATTGGCAGCTTTCTATGACAACCAATGCATGAATTTGCATAGTGTATGGCAGGTACAATGATAGTCTATGCCAAGGGAAGTCGAGAAAATGTCCGTAATATTATCTAGACCGGATCGAGAAAAGAACTAGCTGCATCTGACTGGGAGAATTCCGTGACAAGGCTATCTGAGGCCTAAAACCGGGATCCAAAACCTTTCAAAAACTGTATCCATCGTTTACGAACAGCCCCTTAGTAAGTTTTGTTGTTTTTGTTTTGCTTTGCGGTAATTCTAATCCGTCTTTGTTTTAATTACACGGGCTTCTCCATGATTGTAATGATATTACAGTCAACTCTCCACTACTCGATTTTGAACAGATTATCATAGTAGTCCGTCAGATTTTTGTACTAGGATATGCCAGTTTTGACCACACTTTCTTACTTTGGTCATACTTCAGAAAAATGCTAATATTTCATTTTTCTTACGTTATGTAAACCAATTTTGATTCGAATCCAAGATCTTAAGTCACAATCTCATGAACAGTTTGAACTATGGTCTGCTCCTGGTCAAAATTCAGTTGAAATGATTCTAAGAACTTACAACTTACATGTCATATATCATACATGTTTACATTATAAGTCATGTAAAGTAATGAGACATTTCATGAAATGTCGCAAGTTGCTAGTTTGCGGGAAAATAAATACAAGTTTGTGTTTACATCATCAGTAATATCTAGATTTTTTTACTGTGTCGCTTGGAATTCTTCTTTGAATTCACCTGCAGTTCTCCTTTTAGTCCCCTTGGAATTCACCTCAGGATCACTGGTTGAATGAACACAAAAACAAGCAACTCGAAATAACTAAGATCGGCATCTCGAACGAGCTCGCAAATAATTTAGATCTTTTCTGAGATCTCATTGACCAGACCTAATATTCTTCATTAAAAGGAAATTAATACCCTTTCCATCAAGATATCAACATTCTTATGTTTACAATAAACATTACGAACCCGACTAGGCTATATCGTGGCTTTATAAAAAAGCAATCAATGCTAAATCTAGGGGTAGGTATTAGCTGGGACCATCTGCAAACCAAGTAAACCGAATAAGAAATCAATAGTTTCATCCTTTATCATTTCGAATGTAAATACTTCCGGTGAAATTCAAGTTGAATCGCACAGATGCTATCTGCAAACAGAAACCCCTGAGAAATGCCCACCCTAACTAAACTAAATCTTGATAATTTCCCAGGCAAGAACATGATTTTCAAATATTTCCATTCTCAACGCTTATCTCGAACTGCGAACGATGCCCGGTAGCACGAAAAATTACCTTCCCCTGAATCACGCTTATCTCGCCTTCCCGAAAGTCCGAAACGCGCGACGGAACCGCTTTGTAACGATTAAGAAGCAGCAGCAGCAGTTTTTAAAGTTTTCACTTCCTCTGACACTTACTTCCTATAGAAAGTTACCTGTTCCTTCTGGATCCTGAATCCTGATGCAGGTGCACTCCTCTTCTACCAACCAGAGAAAACATTTCAACTATTATTTAATCCACCTGGAAGTTTTTCCTCCAGTCGGTCGGTACCTAGTAGCAGCAGCGATAAGAAAATTTTCACTCCTAGTCGCTTGGAACCATCTCGCTCTCTCTCTCTCTCTCTCGTCCTAGTCGTCTACAAAGGATCCCTGCAAGCTGCGAAGGCAGATTTTCACCCTTTTCCTCCGACTCACTCAACACTCGCAGCAGCAGCAGCACCGACATGAGATTGCAGTCATATAGTTTTCCGAATTTGCTCCCCTTGAAGCCGATAAGAAAAGCTGCTACTGCTAGGCTAGGTGGTGAGGTGCAGACTTTTCCTCCTGGAGCCAGGGAAGAACGCCTGCATCAATACGAGAAACAGTTGGTCTTTTGCACCGGGCGCAAAAAAAAAATGGAGATCGGAACGCAGAAAAAAAGAAAGAATCGCCAAGATAAGGTTCGGCTGCTGTTGCTGTTGCTACCTATTTGGCCAGTACTGGGCTCCTTACGAGTCAGTTGGAAGCCATAGAGTCGGGATTAAGAACGTGGCTCGCCATTGCATCAATGGGAGAAGGCGCGATTGGGGCGGAGGAAAAGTTTGTTTGGAAACAACCATATCATTTGGAACACGATTTTTCCTTATCGCTCACCAGACGCTACAGGAATTGAATGAAAGTTTAAAGGTGTGATGCGTGAGGTAGTACTGATTTCAGGGATTGTTTTTCGTGTGAAATGCAATAGTGCATAATTTTCCTGAAAAGGAATTGGAAGTGATGTTTTCGAGTCATGATTTGTTGAAAAATCTCGAATATGCCATTTTTTAGTTTGAACAAAAATTTAAATGATTAACCAAAACAAACAATTATGCAAAGTTCATGCAAATCGGAAAAAATCGAAATGCTCAATTGCTAAAAAATCAGATTTCAATAGCTGAGTGAAAGGTTATTCACAAATGAGCAGTTGGTGAGTAAAACTGAGCATGGCGTTCATATTTTGAAAACAATACATCTTCTTTTCGACCACGTTTTCTAATCAAAACTAATCTACCTAACCTGCAGGCAGAAATCACAATGTTGTACCCTAACTCATCATAAAGCACTGCTACACCATCAGTTGTTATCAAACTGTGCATCGAAGATAACTACGCTTTGCGCTCCTCAATACAGTTCAACAATAAATAACTTATGATAGAACAATAACTGCTTTGTTTTATTTTTAATATTTGATTGTGTTCAGTATTTGTCTACTGTCAAAGTGTCTTATTCCGCTGTTCGTACCTCTGCTAAGTGAACTGCATCGGTGAAATTCGATCAACACCTTTTCATAACGCCTCTTCCCTTTTCCGTTTCATTCCAGGTAAGCCAATTTGTCCAACTCTGCAGTATTCCGAAGTTGCCTTTCTGTGGCGATTCATAACGTAAGTTTACATTCCTAGTATCCATGTGGTGTCCATATTGTGTCGCCTAAACATCAGCAAATGCCATAAAACGATAACTATTATACGATCATCTCACATCTCCACATCCATCCCTGTCATAATTTCCCATCGAGATTCGAGACAAAACATTCCTCATCCAAGAGTGCTGCTGGCGTCGTCGATCGCATCGATCGCCGCCTGCTGTGTATAGAGAATAACGGATAAACAAACGAAGAAGCCGGGAGGGACCTTCGCTCACTCATACATTCTCACACTGCTGTTTGGTCTACGGGGTTTATGCGATCGCAACAAGAGGGCTCAGTTTCAATCCATACCGCACGGACAATGGTAATGGATGCCGCAGCGCTTCGTTTGGCCGACCTTGAAGCGCGTCGCATTTGTCGGTTCTGTTTACGTTCTTGTTCCACGGATGATGAACTGACTGCGATTGGAAAGGATAGGAAGTTGGCGTCCCGGATTGGGTTCGCGTTGACGCTGGAGGTGACGGAGCAGGATGGACTGCCACAGAGGATTTGCGGCGGGTGCCAATGGCTGATGGAGAAGTTCTACCTGTTTAAGGATCAGTGCATACGGGCGGAGATGCTGCTGAAGACGTTCGCCGAGTCCGGAATGCCACTTATGCAATACTTTGAACCGGTTGATTTCGCGGAGTTTCGGTGGAAGAGGAAATGGGGAAACGAGATCGATGTTGGGATACAGGTAGAAGATACGATGGGGATAATGATGGTGAAGAAGGAGAAGCCCGAGACGGAATCGGAGTATGAGATGATTGCTCCGGAAATGATTAAACAGGAGGTGGAAGCGGAAGATTGGAGCTTGGGAGAGGAAGTAGACGCGGTGGAAAACCTTGATCGAGTCACTATGGATGAGATCGCTCGGCAGCTGTACGAAACTGAAGAGACTACGTTGAACTCATTCTCAACTGCCGATCAGGAGGTTGATGAATCAACGCCGGACGGAGTTCATAATATGGCCGAACTGATTACAGAAATGGATATTGGGTCAGCCCAACTAGCCACAATCAATGTCGATCTTTACGAAGACATATCCAACGATACGGTGGAATTCGCGCATGTTCCGAAGACGTCCAGTATAGCAACAGAACCAAACCAACCGATGGAACCGATCAGCTCTACGGAAGAGATGCTACTGCTGTTGAAAGACGGTGATCAACACGAACCGACAAGAACCATCACCGAGTTCCCACAGTCTCCGTCGGATCTAATTTACGAAGGCCTTCAAACGACACCGCTTTGCGAATCTGATGGTTTACCGTCACGCTTCGTCAACATGGAACCTGGGGAAATTGTTTCTGATGACGAGTACGATGAGGTGGTTATCATCAGCTCCGATACCGAAGACAACCAACCGGACGAACAACCATCGGGATCGGTTTCAGTTCCGACACCGGTGCAGCAGGACCCTCCCAAAAGCGAGCATTACCGGTGCCAGAAGTGTGATAAGTTCTTCCCGCAATCGCAGCTGCTGGAATCGCATGTCAAAGCGTACCACATGGTTTCGCCGGCCAAGTCTACCGGTGGTGGACCGGTGCCGGTGAAGAAGTTCGTTCCAGGAAAGAGTGCCTCAAAACATAAGATGGCCATCATGATCGATAATCCGGTCAAGAAGTGTCCCAAGTGTGGTACCATGGTGCACAAGGCATCCTACTGGGCACACATGAGGTCCCACAGGTCCGGCGGCGAGGAACCGGTGATGAACTATGAGAAGGAGTCGACAGTCGTTGAGGAGCTGTGGGATTGAGGGGTTCATCTTCATATGGAATCTTAAATATAGGAAATTGATTGACAAAAAAAAAACTGTGACGCTTTTACTTTTGTGAACGCCAATATGGAGGTGATATCAGAGAATTTTTATAATGCCTGGAATCATACCCATGTAACCAATAAGCCGAATAAGTGGCCCTTTCTGCATACTGACATTTACCACTCAAACTATTGATTTTTTTTAGTAGAAACAGTACATATTCATTTTGTCTTTAAATTTGTTTATTAGCGAAGGCTCAATGTTTAAAAAGTGATTTTGCGGAGCCGAAAGTCTTTAAATTTAATTTAAACTCTTCCGAACAAGTGCCGGATGGGAGTCGCGTTCTTCTGATGTTATCTTGGCGGACTTGACTTTGATATTTATTTCTTGTTTTTGTTATTGGCTCACATGTTAGCATTTCAAGTGACCCAGATGCCTCTTTTCAGCTATGGTTGTTGAGAATATTTTAATTATTATTAACAGTTCCTGGTCCTACCAGAATGATGCTAAATTAATCCAACCGTTTTTCGTTCAGTAGTGCTAGTCATTCGGCCTCGTGTTGTTCTATTTCTTTCTCCAACTTTTCCGTCTAGTCAACAAGATCTCTCAAGACTCAGGCTATGTGAATTGCACGTTTGTTGGTATAAGCAGCGTGAGGAGGAAGAAACCAATCCTGGAAACCAATTTGAAGGTACACAACTCGACTAGTGCTTTGGTGTTATATTGGAATACACTGGAAACGAGATCCAAAGCAAGATAACAGGGACAAAACTGTCATAATGGCAGGGCTGGTAGCAAGTCACTTTTTAATGACTTGGTCACTATTTTGAAGCCAGTCACTAAAAAGTCACTTTTTACACCAAAAAGTCACTATTTCCCTAAAAATAGTCACTAAAGTCACTTTTTTACTACTAAAATAGAATGAAATTTTAAAATATCAACAAAATGTTTAAATTGAGTACTTGGCACCAGTGTTGGAAAAGTTCACGATGTTTCATGAAGTTCACCAAGGGAAAAGTTCTTGACTCATAGTGAGTTTTCGTGAACTTTTCCATCACTGCTTGGCACTAAGAAAGTTTACAGTAGTTTTAACAAAATATACATATCTGTTAAAAAAATTAAAATTTTAACCAGGGTGACCAGTGAACCGCAAAACTTTCGAACATCAGGAAAACTATTGAGAAATACCTTCAATTTCAATTAAAAATATGCCTCCTTTCCCAGAAAATAAATTGTAAAACTTGGAAACTTTCCAAAGGTATTTGTCTGTGATGGATTTTCAAAAGCCTTTCAAGGATGATTAAAAACTTTAAAAATCCAAAGTAAATTTTAAAAGAATTTTAACGGATTCCAGGGATGACACCAAGATATATCAAAGAAGAATACCAAAGTACAGACTACGAAAGTCTCATGTAAAATTAAGTGCTCTGAGGACCGATTTCTTCATCTCCACTTAAATCTTAGGCCAGGTTTACTTATATAGTTTGGTAATAATCCCATTATAATTGAATGTGAATTTTAACGAGAGTTCTGAGAAGAATTCTATGATGATTGGATGAGGATTCTAGGTCCAATTCTAAAAAGAATTCAAAATTAGTTCTAAAATTTTGCTTAAGGGAGTTTGATGAAAATTCCATGAAAATCTCGTGAACTCCAAAGATGCTCTCTTCGGTTAGTTTTAAAAGAATTCTGGGGTGATTTCTGAAGATACTTCTCAGATAATTCTAAAGAGCGCGAAATGAATGCCGAGAGGAATTTCAATCGAATCGAATTTTGTGGATTCAATATCAAAGGAATTCTGGGAAGAGTTTCAAAGTCAGTTGATAGTTCCGTTATAGTACGGCAGTGTGAAAATTGTATATACCAATTAGAAAGCGAGCAAGGACAATATTGAGGCAGGTACGAATCTGGCAGTTGTTTACGTCAGATAGCGACTTGAGTGTTAAACAATCGATAGAACTGTTTCCGGACATCGGAGGTACATTAGCAAATCGGCGATCATCCGTTTTGCCAGTGGTGGCAGGGGGAAACACCCCTCGCCATCCCTCATTAACGGATGAGCTTGGTAAAGGAGATGCTCTACTCGATTCGTACCTTCCTCAAAATTGTTCGCTTTCTACTTTCAAATTACCACAAATTGCACACTGCCTTATTATAACGGAGTTATCAACTCTTTACTTTCATCTCATCATCTATCGTATAAAATGTCCACTTTTTCTGATATTTGATGTTGAGCATTTCCAACTACGAAAATTATCTATTTCCAAGAATTTTGTTGATTGTTCTGCAAAGAATTTCAAGAATGCAATATTATGTTTGTAAAAGCTTATTTGTCTCTAAGTTTAAAAGAAGAGGAATTATTCTAAAAAATTGTAGAGAACTGTGAAAAGTTCTTATCGAATTATCAGATAACTTTGATTAAATTTTAAACAGTTCTAACACAGAATCATATTCAAGATCATAAAAAATAGGAATTAGTATTTGCTAGTCAACACATATAACGTAAATAAAAGTGAATTATTCAAATAACTTCAAAGGCTCTTCACAGGAGATTCCGGTGTGAGATTCGATTAAATTAGAGGAATTTATGAAATTTGATTTTAAGTTCCATAACATAAAAAGTTTATTTCAATATGAAACCGTAATTGAATTTCTAAGTTACCATATAAATGGTTACTTATTTAGTACTTACAAGTTACTATTTGGTCACTATTTCCGTAAATTTAGTCACTAAAGTCACTACTATTATATCGCATCAGCACTACCAGACCTGTAATGGCCATTGTGGATTGTCCCATTAGAATAACTTTAAACCTGACCGATTTTGGTCCAGTCTACGATTGCAAACTCGTAGAAATAACATTTTTCGGATGCTTCAATACTGGTCGATGCAGTTTCTGAGAATCACTCGCTTTCTCTTCACAGTTTTCCTCGGACTCTGGGATTGTCACATCCATTTCTACTATTTCTCCATCATGCGGTTCTACCATAGAGGTAACTTTTAGACCAGAAAAGTGCTCAAAAAATCCACGAACCCCTCATTTTATCTGTCAAACTTTCATACCGAATCAAAACAAAAATAGTGTAGTACTAGAATTTCGACTACAATGAGGTGCGTTAATCGATTTGCTTGGGACCAATAGGCTAGTCAAGTAGTGAGCCAATTTGAAATCGTTAGTTTTCAACCGGTGGTTCTACCACTTCCTATGTTAAGTTGTTCTTGTTGTCCAACGATGCACCTCCTCATCCACCACATCAGCGTACGTACTGGTACCACCATGCTCTTCACCTTGTTTTTGTTTTGATTTTTCTGGCTGTGTCCGGACCCTGGATTCCCCTCCATCTTGCACAAGAAACACATGTTTTTCTTCCCTTCATAGAATATATGCCCCTTCCGATTGAGGAAAATGAAGCGAATTGGGAATTTTCTTTTTAACATTCATACAAACGTCCCGGACACATGTGTAAAGATCGAGACCCAACTCCACAAGGAATTTCTCCCGATTCGTCATCCGAATTGCTCAGGTTAATACAGCAATGCATGCATCATGGATTATTCTGACTTGAATTTTATGAAAAGGGCTTTCTTCTCTGCGATCCGGTAAGTTGCTTCTGTCTGGGTTTTCACGAACTTGGCACTTTCGCCCATGGTGGGTTTCGAACTGAGCAGTTCCAGGCCGAATAGTGAAACAATAAAGAAAATATGTTTTTCCTCTCAGAATTCCATGAACCAAGTTTGTGCTGAAATTCGGTCATTTTGACTCACGCTTAATTTTGGCGTGTTCAATATTTTTCATCAAATCACAGCATGAAAACGACTCATGTAATCGAAATGACGTCTGAGACAAAGTTGTAGGAAATTGGATTACATGACAAGATTTTTAACTTATGTTTATTTTCTGAAATGAACACAATCGACACATGAAAATTTATCAAAATCGTTGAGCATAAACTTTTAAGCCTGAGCAAGAGGCTGTTCCGAAGCTGCTTGATGCTCGACTTGAAGATAGAGAAGCCGATTCAAGCTATAATAAATTCAAACTCCTTACATGCCCAATCATGCTACGCCTACTAAAAAAATCCATAAACCAACGGTAGCCCAAATGATAGAACAATTCCACAAATGATTTGGATGATATCCCGAACACGTTGTTAAGCAAAATAACCATACAAATTGTATTAGGGTAGGCATGCAAATGTTTGACACCGGATACAATCAACGAAATAATACAATCATGAGCAGAGCTGCAAAATATCAATATCAATACCTACAAAGTGCTGAATTTCACTAGCTACCTGATGTAAATATCAGTTCTCATAGTTAGAATATCAATCTCATTCGCCTCAATGTCAGTGCGCAAATGACATTGACATCGTAAAGGGACCGCTAACATGCAAAGTTCAGCCGTAAAATTGTCTTATATGCGCCAGCTAATCGAGTACTGATCTTTAGAAAACTCATAAGTGATAATAAACCTATGCAACAGTTATACAAAAAAGTTGATTTATTGAGATAAAAGTAAGATGTTCAACTTGTCCCTAGTGATATTCATATGTATAGTAATGTCAAAGCCTGATATGCTGATCATGCTGACTACGAATATCTTCACTGCTAGACCAATACCTTACATTGTTGACAGCAGGCGGCACTGATCATGAGAGGATTGGTCCAGAGATAAGTTAAACATTATTTTCTGCACTTTGTGCAAACTAGTTACATAAGATGAGTCAAACCATCGTAGAATACCTTGATTAGACTGTAAAACATAAAGTTCTCAACTCTAGGCATTTTGGAAAATCTAATAAACCAAACAAATTATATTATGGAGCTTCACGAATGCTTTATCGTGAAGTCGAATCATCTTATACTTTGTTGAGTTTGAAAACCACAATTAATATTTTTAAATGAAATTATAAATCTCCGCTTTACTGTTATGCGAATGGGCACTAGACTTAAGCAAAATTTAAAATTTTCGCTCTACACTGCTCAATCAGTTCCAAATTGGGTTCTAATGAGCGTCCCAAAATTTGAACTCATTTACGAAGAAACTGATTCAGCAGTTACCATTTAAAGTTTACATGGGAAAAACTACTGGAAAACCAAATTTTTTGTTCATATCTGTCAATTCCCCCATCGCTCTGCTTTCTCAGCTACTACTTTGTTCAAGATCACTTTTCGATAAAATGTAAGGAACAAAAGTTATTAACGATTCAAGTCACAGACATCTTATGATTATGCTCAATCAACTGCTCAGCAGGCAACATTGGTGTTTCTGGCGCGTAGAATAGAGTGTTACCCACAAAACAGTTGCTTGATCACGCCATAAGATTGTGATGAAGATCATGTATTTTTATTTAGACCGGAATCTTGAAATCTTGTAAGACTTTTTGAAGTCACAGAATCTTGATGTTTTTCTACGTCCTGAAGCTTGAATTTCTGTTTGAGATCTTAAAATAAAAACAATCAAGTCGGAATAACTAGATTCATTTGAGATTTTTAGAACATAACTCTTCATAAAATATCTCCCGCCAAGATAGTATTAGAATTTCCTTTACAATTATCTTAGTATTCTTAATAATTATCGCAAGATTGGTAATAAATGTATCTCTGAGATGTACTCTTTCAGTGTTGGAAACATACCAAAAAATCAAATCTCGCCAAAGAATCACGCTTGATTTTCGTAGACAAAAATCAACAAGCAACCAACTGCGCTTGATATTGCAAGCTGTGATATCGTAGCTCAGAATATCAAGCTAACAAAACTCACCAGCTGCAATTCTCACCAAACTGTGGTGAGATTGAGTTTCATGATTGTTGCTTTACACCCGAACGCTACCGAAATTTCCATGACGGCAGGCAGCAGTCGCTTCGTGGCTACCATCGGTGAAGCGAAAAACGAGATAGCATTATTATATCTTCTCTTTCTACGAAAACGCAGTGCAACGGAATGATTTTTGCGTCGATTCAACCCTCAGCTTCAACATTACACGTTGTGAATAGTCTCACAATATCAAAGGAGCTTGTTAAATCAATATCAAGCTTGATATTTTGTTCCAATATCATGCGTGAATATATCGATTTGCAAATGGTTATGCCATCACTGATATCTTTAAAATACGATTGGAATACCCTTGGAGATTATTTTTGAATTGTCTTGGAACTTCTCTAAAAAATCGGAATATCCTCTCAAAATTCCCTTAGAATTAATCTAGAAATGTCTTTGTAATTCCAATCGGAACTTCATTGCAAGTCCCCTAAGAATTCTCATGGAACTATTCTGTGAATTCTATTCCCTTTCTTCAGAATATCTCTGCTGAGATACTCCTGAGAATATCTCTAACGTCTCTAAAGCCAAAATATTTTTCTAAACTATCATCCTGAATTTAGTATCGGTATTCCGTTGCAGGTTTCCTCACCTCAGAATTCCCTTGAATTGATTTGATTGATTATCATCTAGGGAAAGACCGCATCCATATGTAGGAGTTAAACATCGTTCCAAAAATGAAATTAACATATACAGTATTTGGTATGCTAGTTTTGTAATCATATAAATATCTGATCCGGAAGTAGAAGGCCGTGGGTCCGATCCCCAGGCCCATTCACTTCAAATATTTGTATTTGAGTAATTGCTAATAACGTTTAGCAGAGTTCTTTGCATCTCTCTTAAACTAAAACTTCTCTTTTCTAAAAAAAAAAAATAGGGAAGGGAGTATTAGGGAAAATTTACACAATGTTTTCAAGCCAAAACATGATCCCAATGCACTAGGAAAGTTAAGTAATTGTCCAATAGACTGATGGAAAATTTAAAAGATTCGCTCCACAGTGCTCAAATGGCTCCACTTTGGGTCCTGATTAGCCTTTCAAAATTTGAACTCATTTAGTAAGAAACTAACTTGCCACAAACCATTTGTAGTTTATATAGAAATTACTATGGGAAAACTAAATTTGTCGTTCATATCCATCGAACTATTTAATATAACGCTTTGATTTAAAAAATGATAGCTATGCTCGTAGGAAATTTTCTCAGCAATAACTTTGTTCTGGATCATTTTTCGATGAAATGTAAGGAACCGAAGTTATTAACGATTCAAGTCACTGATGTCTTATGATTATGCTCAATCAACTGCTCAGCAGGCAACATTGGTGTTTCTTGGGCGTAGAATAGAGATCACAAATTATGGCTACTATGTCACACTACAGAATACAGTGATGCCAACAAAACAGCTGCCTAATCATACCATGAGATTATCAGTCTCTTAAACAAGCAGAAACTATTTAAATTGACGTTTGGCTGAAAATCAGCCTGCTGAGCAATATGGAAAAAAGGCTAGAAGTCAATGAACAAAAAGTTTGCTTTTATCATAGTAATTTCCATACAAACTTCAAATGGTTTGTGCCAAACCGGAACCTTACCAAATGAGTTCAAATTTTGGGAGGCTAATTAGGACCCGATTTGGAACCGGTTGAGCAATGTGGTGCAAAACATTCAAATATTGCATCAGTCTAGTGTCCAACCAGCAATCCTTATTATGCCCACCAGTTGCAAAAAAACGTGGCCAGGACAGTTCTCGATCGATGTAGATTGTATCGCTCCCATCTAAGAGGCAGTGATTATTCTCAAATTGCAGCCTATAAGAGACGAATGGTGCCCTACCTACGAACAGGTACAACGTGGAAAGTGAATATGAGTTAAGTTTGAAAATAGAAAATAAACAGGTTTTTTCAAGTAAAAAAAAACTAGCGACATCTATTGCTGAAATCAAAAATGCCATCATTCCATCAAACCGGGAAACAATTTTGAGCACCAAGGAAAACGCGGGGATTCAAATTCATAATTCCACTCTTGACTGAACCAAAATGTCTGACATTGGACCCAGTGACTCCATTTATGATCCTAATTGAATTTCTCATTCAATCTGAGACTCAAAATCAAATTAATAAGTCTTATGTTGATGTGATGGTAACATATATCACATGAAACCCCCTTAGGGAGCATTCAAAAAGTATTCAAATTCAAATAAAAGAGTGTGACGTGCTTTATGGATCGCCCCTTATTGTGGTTCTCCCGTATACTCACCTATATGACCAGGTATCGGCATAAATGTCTCTGTTTATATCTACCTACTTAGCTAATTCCAATGAGCTGGATTACCGAGGTGAAGCAATCACTCACACAACCACTGTACGATACAGGCAAGTACACGCAAGTAGTGACGTCACTACTTGCGTTTACGTTGATTTTTTGGTTTACTAATACAACCCTATTTCACGATCTGCTCCACCTCTCTCTGTACCTCATTGAGCTAATTCCACTTCCGTGTTTTAAGTTGCTGTGAGGTTGAGCGCATGCCCACAATTTACCTACCTTCATAGATTCGCCTCTTCTGAAATGTCTCATTTACCCTGAAAATATATCCCCAAATGATCGGTCATCAGAAATCAAAAGCATTCAAAGGGCAGTCATACAAAGCTCATTGTGTATTAGTAAAAACAAATAACCCCCCCCCCCCCCCCCCTACTGTCCATGCCTGCTTGGATTCATGCTCATCAGCTGCCGCACTTCGTCCGAGTGTTTCCTGCGTACGTGCCGTAGCCTACTTGGTTGATCGATGAATACCAGCGGACAAAAGTCGCAAGCCTGCGACAACCCCACCAACGAATGCTGATCCAAATGGCCGTTCAGTTCCCAGTCGGCCTGGAACTGCTCGCCGCACAGCCCGCACCAGTTGGTGTGCTGTTTCAGGTGGTGTACGAACTGTGCCAACTGGAAAAACTGCTGACCACACCCACAGTGGTACTCGGCGTTGCCAAGGTGCTTCCGCATGTGCTGTGTCAGGTGATTTTGGCTCGCAAACACATACGAACAGGTCGTGCATTGAACCGCGGTGCTTGGCTGAATTGGTCGGTAGGCTGTCGTTGTCGCTACGGGTTGCTTCGATGGTTGTTGAAGAGGCACAGCTTGAACGGGTTGCTGCGTTACGAGCTGTTGAGGAGTGATTTGCTGAAACTGCGGTTGCTGTTGTTGTTGTTGCTGATATGGCACTTGCTGTGTTAAGGAGTTGGTTAGATATTGCAGTGAGTTAATGGGTGGTGGGTGGTACGAAGTTTGCTGTAACTGCTGTTGAAGCAGCGGACAGCTAGACGTGTTTTGATTTGTAACAACATATACAGGTGATGGTTTGTATTGAGAATATGGCTGTAATGTTGAATATGAGTTCTGGGCCTGCTGGTTTTGGCAGTACTGTATCACCGTTTGCGTGTTGGAATTCGAATGTTCTTGATTTACACTAAACTGGGTTTGCATTTCAGATGATATTGTTGGTGATTGCAACGTGAGTGCTTCGTTTGTACGAACACGTATCGTTCCGATTGGAGACTTATTACGATCACATTGCATAACAACCGTAGTTTCATCACTGGTGGTACGAACTTTCTTGGCCGAAACAGCATCTTCGCCTTCCTGCTGCAGCTGTCGCTTTTGGACAGGTCGTAACCAATTCGGAACCTCAACTCTCTCCGGCCAGTTCCCGGTCAACGGGTAAGACACCAACAACAACTCTGTCTTTTTACACATCTGTTTAAACTCGCGGCACTTTTCCAAAAAATCACAACATGCCTCACACACAAACTTCGGAAGTCTTTCAGCGATCACCGTCGAAATTGCAAAGCATGTCGTCAGGATCATATTCCACTGCTGGTCATTCAGATCGTCTATTAGTTTCTCCGACTCGATTAAGCATATCCTACAAACTTTCCTCTCTGCTAACTCCTGTGCCAACTTTCCCATAGTGGGATTACTCACTAACAACGATGCTGGAATCATGCTGACAGATGCTCACCAGCCAACTGCTCTAAGCGAACTAAACCAAGATCTAATTCCCACCAACGGTTTTATGCATCAACGCTGCGCTTCACTCTGTCTGGGGTCCTTTTCCCGGGTAGATGTGGTAGGGTAATAAATATTAACGACGTTTTCGTCCCTCGTTACTTTGCTTTCTTCCCTATATAACATTCGTCGTCCCTTGATCGACACTTTTCTATTCTACCCAGAACCAGAACTCCTGCGCTTCTCACATCAAAATTCAACTCACACTACACTTTCATCCGATCGAAGCCGCTGGCCTACTGGGACTGAATCGATTCTCGTAGAACGAAAGTGAATTTAGCCTGCGCTGGAGTGGAGCACACCAACGCCTACTCGGACCGATATCGCTATAGCTGCTGTAAGAAAAGGAAACGCGTCGTTCTCGGCATCTCCGGTTTCAATAATTACGTCGTTGTCGTGGTCGCACACAAAGTCGTCTCTATAGAATGTATCTCGAGCACTTTAATTTATGTGGAATCGGACTTGGTTTGGGGTCTCATGCAAAGCCGGCCGGCCGGTATGCATAACAAGTGTCAGCATGTTTTTTTCCTTGGTGCGAAGGAAGTATTAGCTGTGTTTTGTTTATTGCAGCAGCGCCATGCTTTAGTAATATGAACACTTGACTTCGCTTCGATCGTCGCGGCGGTTGTTGAGAAAACGATGCCCTCATATGCCAGCAACGCACGTGGTCTGGTCGTGTGGATTCAGCGTTTAATGTTTACAAAATTTTGTGCTGCATCGCACAAACTTCGACTTGGGACCGCGTTCGGGGAAAGGGAATTGGTATGTTGCTGTCAGGAGGTTTTTTGTTTTACAATGGGACCGACTGTTATTCGATTAATTGAAAAATATTTGACTTTGTGTTCGTAGTGTGGCAAAGTTGTTTGAAAACAATTTAATGATTTCCGACTTCCATAAAGCACGGAGGCTACATTTTATTCACTGAGCTGCGTATTTATTAATTTCGATTTTCGGCCTTGTGGAAATTGGTCAACATGGGCATTATGAGTGAATATCTAAAAATGTTATTTGAAAACATTTTATTAGCCTGCAGTAATTTCTTATTACTAGGTATTACGAAAAAAAACATGTCAGATGTTATTTGGATTCCTGAACCGATAGGTTGGTTGGTTGTCTTTATTAAGGAGATTTTCAGCCAGATGCAGGTTCATCCCTGGCGCTAAACAGATAACGATCTTCATAAAAATACCTGTTTAATCAGAATTCTTGCACAAACACCTAATGAGCTTAATGGAAATCTTATCCAAGTGATTAAACAGTCACCGTCCTGATTCGATATTAAAGAGACCATGGAGTTCGAGCGACTATCGAGTAAGGGTGGTAAATTTAGAAAATTTGTATGGGGAGAGCGATCCAAGTAGCCTGGAGCCTCAATATTTCAATTGTTGTAAGGTTGGAGATCTTTAGAATAATACCTGATACACCTGAAGCCAAGAAAACAGCAATATCAAGAGGATTCTAGGGAAAACTTTGATCTTCCAACCTGGAAAGTTAAAAATCCTCACGAACCTGAAGTCTTGAACAAATATCAGGTTATTTGTTCAAGATGTCAGCTTGATCAGGTTTTATTCTGAAGATCTTCAACTGCCTAACAATTAGAATCGCAGTTAATCTCTCAAACACCAGGCATGCTCTCCGAAAAATCCTCAGGATATTTGTTCAAGACTTCAGCTTGATCAGGTATCATGCTGAAGATCATCAACTGTACAACAAATCAGACGAAGATCTTCAAGTGCACAAAAATTAAAATCCCATCTCCCAGGTATTTTTCAAGATACCAAGTTGCTCAGAAATTATTTGAAAAACCGACAGGTGATTATTGCCTTCCAAAAAATCAACAATTTATTTGATATAGACTTCACCTTGATCAGATATCATTAAAGATGATCTCCAACTGCCCAACAATTCAAATCACATCTCGCAGTTATTCTCTCAAATATCAAAGTGCTCAGAAATTATTCCAAAGATCTAAATGTGATCATAGATCTCCAAAAATCTACAACATATTTGTTTTAGAATTCAGCTTGAGAATGTATCATTCTGAAGATTTTCAACTGTTCATCAATTCAAATCAAATCTCCCAGGTATTCTCTCAAACACCAGGTTGCTCAGAAATTATTACAAAGAGCAGCAAGTGATAAGATCAGTGGCGTACCTGTGCAACAACTTTCAAACCCAGATTTAATGCCACTTTCTTTAAAATACACTTAATCTTCTAATTTACTCGATATCTATTCATTGCAAGCAATATTTTGATAATTGTTTATGTTTTGAGAGTTGGTGCACAGGATTGAGGTTAAGAAAACGCTAGTGGATAAGATATTTCGAAAATGTTAAGACAATATTTGTTCAAGACTTCAGCTTGATCATGTAGGATTTTGAAGATCTGGATCTGCCCAAAATTTCAAATAACATCTACATCAGATATTCTTTCAAATAACAGGTTGCTCAGAAATTATTCCAAAGGTCATCAGACATCTCCAAAAGTTCTCAAATATTTGATCAAGACTTCAGTTTGATCCGGTATCATTCTGAAGATCTTCAACTGCACAACAATTCAAATCATATCTCCCAGATATCCTCTCAAGATACCAGGTTGCTCGGAAATTATTCCAAAGATCTTCAAGTAATCAGAGATCTCAAAAAAAAGCTCACGATACTTGTTTTAGACTTCAGCTTGATCAGGTATCATACTGAAGTTCTTCAACTGCCCAACAATTCAATTCACATCTCCTAGGTATGTTACAAGATACTATGTTGCTCATAAATTATTAAAAGACTTCCAGGTGATCATAGTGATCAACTGCCCAAGAATTCGAATCACATCTCCCAGTTATTCTCTAAAATACCAAATTGCTCAGAAATTATTCAAAAGATCTCCATAGATCTCAAAAAATCTCAAACTTACTGTTTTAGATTTCAGCTTGAACTGGTATCATTCTGAAGATCTTCAACTGCACAGCAATTCAAATCATATCTCCCAGATATCCTCTCAAAATCCGGGGTGCTCAGAAAATTTTCCAAAGGTCTTCAAGTGATCAGAGATCTCCAAAAAATCCTCAAGACATTTGCTTCAGACTTCAGCCTGATTAGGTATCATTCTGAAGATCTCCAACTGCCCAAAAATTCAAATCACCCAGCTATTCTTAAAATACCAAATTGCTCAGAAATTAATTCAAAGATCTCCAGGTGATCTTTTCCAAAATTCCACTGTCAAACAATTTAAATCATATCTCTCGAGCATTTTTCAAGATACCAGCTTGCTCAGAAATTATTCAAAAGACCTCCAAGCACGGCCCAACAAAGTCACTTTCAATCGAAAATCGTCAAACGACGACGAAGCTGTCAACCATCACTTTCAATTGAAAGTCATTCTGTCTTCTCTTTCAGCAGATTCCCTTCAACATTAAACATCGATCACTATTCATTCTGTTTGTTTTGGCTTGACTCGTGTTCATTTCGTCTTTGATTGTCAAAGCTGTTCGATCCAAATTCGTGCAGTTTTTCTGACTTTAGTTGATTGTTCACTCGTCAAATTTATCATTGTGGGGTGATTTGTTTACCCATCAGTATGGATATTCTGGGAATTGGGGTGACGTCTAGAGGCCGGAAATCGATATCCGACACCATTTTGAAATCCATGATGGCGGCTTTCGATTTCCGAGAAAAAGTGGGAAATCCGGTTCAAGAAAAAGTGAGAAATACTGTCGATCGAGATGACGTCTAGAGAATAAACTATGGGTATTTTTGGAATCGTGGTGACTAGAGATTGTAAATAGATATGCGACGCCATTTTGATATCCAAGATGGTGGCTTCCAGTTTAAAAAAAAAAGTGGGAAATACTGTCATCAGTGATGGCATAATCCTCACTCAAATGATTTTGTTTCGCTCTCAAGGGCTCCCAATATCACGCGAGATACTGGAATAAAATATCAAGCATGATATTGATTTAACAAGCTCCTTTGATATTGCGAGACAATTCAGAACATGTAAAATTGTAGCTACAAGTTGACTTACCACCACAATGATTCCGTAGCACATCGTATTCTTATAGAGAGAAAGCATAGCTTGCTATCTCTCTTTACTCTTCACAGATGACAGACACGAAGTTACTGCTACCAGCAGTGATGGAAGTTTCGGTTCGTGTTCGGGTGTACATCAAAAATCTTGAAGCTCAAACTCACCACAGTTTGGTGAGAATTGTAGCTGGTGAGTTTTGTTAGCATGAAATCAGAGCAACCGTATCACAGCTTTCAATATCATCTGATATTGTCTGCTTGTTGATTTTTGTTAACGATACTCAAATGAGATTATTCTTATTGGTGAGATATGATCATTTGATATTTTCCCAACACTGACTGTCATATACCCAAACATATTTTTTTTAGAATCAGGTAAATATGTCTTCTGGTGAATATGTCATGTGAGTATTTTCGAAATCCTAGTAACGCCATTACATTATTAAAATCTAAGATGTCGGCTTTGGTTCAGGAAAAGTTTAAAATACTGTAAAATACGAATAAATGTGGGTATTTTTGGAATCAAGGGTACATCTGGAGACCAGAAATCGTTGTCCGATGCCATCTTCAAACTCAAGATAGCGTCGAATATTGATTTTCAGCATCTATACGTCGTCCCCATTCCATAAATACCCAGATGTTAGAGTGTTTGACACTTTCTTTGAAAACCCGAGGTTCACCATCTTGGATTCCAAAATGGCGTCAGATATCGATTTTCAGCATCTAAGCGGTGTCTTCATTCCAAAAATACTCATATTGTAGAGTATTTCACATTTTTTCTGCAACCCGATGGCCATCACCGTTGATTCCAACATGGCGTTGGATATCGTTTTTCTGCAGCTACGAGCTGACCCCGTTCCATGAACACCTATATTGTAGGGTATTTGAAACTTTTGATGAAACCCGATGGCCGCAATCTTGGATTCCAAAATGGCGTCGGATATCGATTTTCGGCATCCCTGTTCCGAAAATACCCATATCTTAGGGTATTTGAGAGTTTTTCTGAAACCCAATGGCTGCAATCTTGGATTCCAAAATGGCGTCGGATATCGATTTTCGACAGCTACGCGTTATCCCGTTCCGAAAATACCCATATCTTAGGGTATTTGCCACTTCTTATGAGCTCAATGGCCGCACACTTGGATTCCAAAATGGCGTTGGACATCGATTTTCGGCACCATCGCGTCGTCCCCGGTCCGAAAGTATCCATATTGTAGGGTTTTTGAGATTTTTCCGGACTTCAAGATGGCCGCCATCTTGAACTCCAGAATGGTCTCGTTAATTTAATTTTCGTTTAATATAAAATAACATCACGACGCGACGCAATTCGAATGATCCCCGAAGAGAAGTGAAAGGAGAAAAAATGAAGGAAGCAGTTTTCAAATCATTCATTGCGTCAATTGAAACAAGTATTTTCTTTGCTTCAAATGAAATGAAGTGATGCACTTGACGAACGAAACAAGCGATAGTCAAGTCATGTTTGGCAGGAGTAATGTTCATCGTGACTCGATAGCTTAGCTTGATGAGGTATCATTCTGAAAATCTTCAACTGCCTATCAATTCAACTTACATCTCCAAGATGTTCTCAAAGATTCCAGGTTGCTAAGAAATTATTTAAAATGACACCAAGTGATAAGAGATCACATTGAAAACCATTTTTCAAGATTTCAGATTGCTCAGGTATCATTCTAAAGATATCCAAGTATTACATAAGCTAAATAGCATCTCTCAGATTT